CAGACCCTCCGCAGGCAGCATGGCCGGAGTCAGGGCTGGGAGCGCGGTGCTCTCGGCTTGAGGAGCGAACTCCTCCCTGCCCCACACCGGGCGCACGGCCGCAGGGGCCATGCTGCTGGCAGCAGTGAGCGCAGGATGGCGTCTGAGCCGCCGACTGCTCCCAGCCCCACACCGGGCGCACGGCCGCAGGGGCCATGCTGCTGGCAGCAGTGAGCGCAGGATGGCGTCTGAGCCCCCCACTGGCCAGTCTGGCTCAGGCCTTTCCTTGGACCCATGCTGGTAAATCGCAGCCGGGGGGCAGGAGGCGAGCTAGCTGCAGAATGTGGTGCGAATACCATCACGTCTGCACGGTGTCGGGCGCCCATGGGTGCTTCCGTACAGGTCTGTGTGAGGCTTGCCATTCTGCCTCCAGGGAAGTGGGCTGGGGGGAGCCTGTCTAGGTCCTGGTTTTACAGGGAGGGTCCCAATATTCAGGGTTTGTCTTAGAGGCGCCTCCTGCTTCAACCCCGTCCCGATTTTTCACACTTGCTGTCTGGCCCCCCTCAGCGCATTCCTCCTGCTCGTTAACAATAAGGTCGTGGCCCAGACCCAGAGATGAACCCTCCCCACATGTCCAGGGGTGGCTGATTCGGTCCCCATTTTACTAGGGGGGGGGAATCTGACACTGAGCAGGACAGGATCTCACTTGTTACATGGCTGGATCTAGCTGCCTCTGGTTGTGTGCATGGCCCCATCTGGGGGCCTCTCCTGAGCCTCCCAGCCTCCAACATTGGCAGCCAAGTGCCAGGTGCGGTACAGATACCAAACAAAAAGTTAGTCCTGGCCCAAGACTCTGCAATTGAAGTAATTTCTGATGGACTTTTCCCCTGCATCAGTTTCGTGCCATCAGCCTCATTGGAGTCCCTGCTGCGAGCGGGATTCCTACCTTCGCAACCAGTCCCCAGTTCATTCTTCCTGCTACAGTTGGTCAGACTAAGGAAAAATATCTAATGGGGTCGTACTCTCCCAAGCTCCACCCACACGCCAAGCTCCTCCTACCAATGGGGGCAAATGAGCCCCCCAAATCCAGGATTTAATGAAGGTTCAGAGGAAGCAGCCCATCGGGATTCCTAGAGATAGTCTGCATCGCAGAGCCGTTGGTTCACACTGACAGCAAACGCAGGCCTGGCCAAGGCGCGTCAGTTGCACCCATCACAAAATGGGTTTCTCGATTGGCTTGTTTCTAGATTAAGTTGTATCAGGCACAGTCTCTCCGCATGGCAGTTAAGAGTCATGGCAGTGTTTTCACGCAGCTGATTTAGAAACCGTTTTGGGTGCAGCGTGTATAGCCCAGGCCTTGTGCATCACTGGGTGTTTAGGTCACAGCTGGAAGGTTTGCTTTCAACTAGAAGGCCTGGAGGTTTTGTTTGCTTTTTTTTTAGACTGCGGAGCAAAAATGGCATCCATGGAGGGGATGTCTGATAGTAACACCACCTCACTCTCATGTAGCACTTCACATCCCTAGATCTCACAGTGCTTTACCAAGGAGGTCAGTGTCCCCATTCCCATTTTGTAGATGTGGAAACTGAGGCACGGAGCGGGGAAGTGACCTGTCCAAGGTCACACAGTAGATCAGTGTCAGAGCCAGGCATAGAACTCTGCTCCAAGGCACTCTTCATTGGGTGACGTTCTCTACCACTGGCTGCTGTCCGCTTGCTGTCCCTGAGTTTGCGCCTGTGTTCCTGCAGCTGCACATCTGCCCCCAGGTGCCCTGCCAGTAAGTGGCTGTCTGCCAGCCTGCTCCTGCTCACTGGCTCTCTCCTTGGCTCTCTGCAGTCTCTATCGACTATACACCTGTGATCACTGCCCGGGAGCTGGAGGGAAAGATCACCTCTTCCACCTTCGTCCTGGAGCAGCCCCGCTGCGTCTTCAACGACTCGGTTAGCAACACCGACGAAATCTGGTTGGTGGTTGCTCTTAGTAACGGTACGTGTCACTCCTGGACATGGGGCGTGCTTGGCGCAGCCGAGGGGTTTGTGATTGCAGGGGCTGCCAACGGCCCTGGGGACTTTGTACCTAGTGTACCCGGGGATTGAGCTGGGACAGAGCCCCCCAGCCTGGCTCTACCCCATACCCCTGCCTGGCTGGTGCTGGGTGGACAGAGTCCTTGCTGGCGCCCCTCTGATTGGAGAAGGGACCGCACCGGCTGCAGGGCAAGGCATGTGCCAGCCTGCAGGGATGTGGCAGGCCCAGACAGAGTCAGATGGGTGGGGTGCATGCCTGCAGAGCTTTGCCCTGCACTGAAAACTCAGTCACTCCCTAAGGGCAGACAGTGCCTTGACAAGGGGTGAGGGACCGAGGTGTTAGGGAGCGGGAGAGCTTCTTGTTGGCCTCTAACTGCTCTTAGCAAAGACTTCAGAGTTCTGTCCAGGCTGGGGCAGATCTGTGCTTTGGAGCCGTTCCCTGCCTCCCCAAAGGGTGTCAAGCCTTTGGCATTGCCCAGCAGAGGGGGGCAGCCTAGCCCACTCCCTGCACTGGGGAAACATGTATGTTTCATCTAGCCACTGTCTGAACTGGGGAGAGCCAGGAGCTTCAGAACAGGCACTGAATTGTGCAATAGCATCAGGCTGGGAGAGTAGGAAATTTCTCTCCAGTTGTCCCCCTAGCTAGAGTAATTACAGGTGCCCATTTTTGCCCCAGCCTTCCTGAGCTCGCTGCCTGGATAATTTCCTGCGGCAAGGCGTTCCCCAGATAAATAATGTGGTATAAACAAGAAAATGTCCTTTCCATGCAATAAGTGTGCCGTTCTCAGGGCTGGAGGGCTCTGGGGGTTAGAAGACAGAGGCTTTTGACCAAGTGAAGCCCAATGGGGGAAGTGACTGAAAGGCCTGGCCCCCGGCTAGGTGCTGAATTGTGTCGATTTGAAGCATGCTTGGGGGTGTCTGCCCAGCGCAGGGGGAGTGAGGGGAAGATGTAAAGTTGCCACCAGCAATGAAACAGGATCCATCAGAGAGAAAGGGTCCAAACCAGAGCTGGGTGCATCGACACCTTCTGGCTGCCAGCTAGAAGAGAGCAATGAGGTGTGTTGGAAGCCAGGAGGGATCTAGGATTGTAATAGCCATGCAGGCTGGAAGGGCTCATGAATCCAGGCCAGGCTGGGAATAGGGGCTCCACGGGCTTGGAGGGGAGGAGCCAAGTTTGATCCGTATCATTTTTCTGACTCTGGAGAGAGTCCTTGGATGTCACCAGACTGCATTCTCTTCTTGTTGACCCGGGGTCACTCTGGAGTGACTCTGCTGAATTCTCTTCTCCCCCGGTGTAAATCCAGAATAACTCCAGTAGTGTCACACCATTGTGTCCCCCTCCCCCAGTGTAAATCAGGAGTAACTCCAGTAGCATCACATCAGTACGTCCCCTCCCTGGTGTAAATCTGGAGTAATTCCAGTAGTGTCACTCCAGTACGTCCCCCTCCTCTGGTGTAAATCTGGAGTAACTCCAGTAGTGACACACCAGTCGGTCCTATTCTGTTCTCCCCCAGTGTAACTCTGGGGTAAGCCGGATGCAGTCAGTAGCATTACCGTGGCATAAGGCCCATGCAAAGTCCAGTGTATCACTTGCTTTTCCTGTTGTCCCTGCAGCGATATCCACTTTCACCAACCCCACCTCCCTGCAGAGTCTGCCCGCTTTCCAGAAGTTCCCAGGCAGCCCCCATTACATGACCATGGGCACCTCCTCCTTAAACTACCCCTGCGAAAAGAGCTCCGGCCAGATCACTGTGCTGCGGGTTGGGAACGAAACCGGGTGCGTGTCGGACACGACGCGACCAGACTGCAATGGCCCCCTGCCCGGCCTGGGGCCCTACAGGTGAGCAGCGGTGGCTGGGCTGTCATGGTCCATGTGCTAGCAGGGATCTCCGGACACTGCAGCCTGTCTCAGAGCCCAGGGGAGCCTCGTGGGGACCTTTGAGGCCTCTTCCAGACCCGCGTTTGTAGAATCCCATATACCTCCCTTCCAGCAAGGGCGAGGGGATCCCGCTATGCAGAGAGCCAGCCCAGGGCCTGTCAGGCACTTCACAGCTGTTTGGAGGGCGTAAGTGGTGCTGAGTCCTCGTAAATGCCTGCTGAGTTACTTCTAGGCCTGTTGTGTTCCCAGGGCAGGCTGCTGAGCTACCCAGCGCCTTGCCCACAGGGAGGGGTGAGCCTCAGGAGGGGCAGAGGGCAGATCAGGGGGTAACATCAAGAGAGCGGTGTCACGGCTCACAGGCCGTGCGCATGCTCGGCCTGTCCATCCCTGGGCAGAACCCCCCTCACTCCAGTGTGACATCCCTCTCTCAGGGTGCCCACTCTCACTGGGGGTCTGCCCCTCCACCTCCGGGATGGCGCCTCTCAGGACCTTCAGCCACCTGCCTCTGCCATGAGCCCCTTTGGGGGATCCACTCTCTCTGGACCTCCAGGGCCTCCGCCCCCAGAGGGGATGGGGCCCCCCTGTTCTCTAGACCAGACCGACTATCAGCCAGCACCAAACAGGACCAAACAGGAGGGTTTATTGAGCTTTGATCACAGCAAAGGATCTAGACTGCAGCTAGCTGAGTCCTGCCTGTCCTGCTTTCTGTCCCCCAAGAACAGCCCCCAGTCTCCCAGCAGAGCCTCCAATACCCCAGCAACAGCCCCTCCCCTGTCCATTGTCTTCTCCCCAGGGAACAGGGTTGCCTGGCCCCTCTCTTCTCTGCCTTTCCTCTCCTCTGTTCTCCCCTCGCTGGGATCAGCTGGGTCTCCCCTCTGTCTGGAACCAGCTGTGTCCTCTGAGCAGGGCTGGGGTCACCAGGGCACTAACCAGGGATCCAGTTCTGGGCTGTTCTCTGAAACAACCCCCCCCCCTTTTCACGTTAAACCAGTAACATCCAGGCACTGAGTGCCCCCCCTTTGAACTCCCAAAACTCCCCACTTCCTCAGAAGCAGAAGCAGTGCCAGTTTGAACAAGGGATGTGACTGTTTAACCACTCCAGCCCCACGGGGCCCTTCTGCAGCCTCTGTCCCCTGCAAGCCTGGAGACCTCACCTGCAGGGACTCCAGAGCAGCCCCTGCCTGTAGGGCCCCCTGACCCCCCATTCGATCAGTTAACTGGTTGGCCAATTAAATGGGATTTTACAGCCCTAGTTTTCTCCAGCTAAGAACTCGGCAGGTTAAGCTCAGCCCCTGGCAGATGCTCCCCCTGTTCTGAGTGTTGCACACTTGGGTTTGGCAAGGCTAGTGCCTCAGTTGTCTGGGAGCAGAATCGAACCTGGGACCTCCAGAGCTCAGTGTCTGAGCCACTCAAAGCTGGCTGGCTGGCAGCCATGATGCTAGACTGATTCTGCACTGCCCCCAGCCGGCACATGGGTTACACAAGGCTTAGAACCTGCCTTTGTAGGCCTGGCTAGATACACGCTCACCTCTGCCCTCCCCCCAGCTGCTTCCTGGGCCCCCTTGTTCCTGCCATCCTGGGTGGTTCCATGGCTTCCCCTCTTTTCTCTTCCCAGGGTGAAGTTCCTTGCCATGAGTCCTGTCACGGGGCCCACGGCGGAGACACGGTGGTCAGACCCGATTCTGCTGAAAGCAGGTAACTGGCCGTGTGGCTCGGCCCCCGTGGAACACGTGCAGGGAGGGGCCACTCGGTGGGGCAGGGCACGTTTGGCACCGAAAATCAGCTGTGCCATCGAGGTTTGGCAGGGAAGTGGGTGAAGTTTGAGAATCAGGCAAAAAGCTGAAGGGGTTGGAAAAGTGGATAAGGCACTAGATGGGCGCTCAGGAGAGCTGGATTCAGTTCCTAGCTCTGCCACAGGCTCCATGTGTGACCTCAGGCACGTCACTCAGCTGCCCTGTACTGTGGGGTTAATTGCCCTGCCCTGCCACGCAGGGGCTCAAACAAAGTTCCCTCTAATCTTTTTCATCCACGTGTGGAATAATTGCATGTGCACCGAGGCCTGTGCAGATGTGCACCACCAGCAGAAACAAAAAACCGAGCCGTGGGCGCTCGGCTAATTGTCTGGCCAGCATTTGAATTTCTCCCAAGTGGCTGCACAAGCGCACAGGGAACACTGGGCTCGAATGCTGCTTTGAGAAGGGCTGCGGATGAGTCTAAATGGGTTTGGGATCTGTCTGTGTTCATCTCCATGGCCCTGGCCCAGTCCCTAGAATGCCCTCTTGTCTAGCGCTTTTCACCCGCTGATCTCAAAGCCCTGCACAGAGGAGGCTAGTGTCATTGCCCTTGTGCTGCACATGGAGAAACTGAGGCATGGGGCGGTGAAGTGACTTGTGTGAGGTCACCCAGCAGGTCAGTGACTCCAACACGCCTGAGTCCAAGTCCTGTGCTTTGCCCACTAGGCTACCCTGCCTCTCTCTGCACATTAAGCACAGGACAAGTCCTGTTGAAGTCCCTGCTGGCCTCCGCTACATGAGGGGAGTTGCATGTGCTCAGGGTCTCTCACCTCCGGCTGAGGCGTCCCGGCCAGTGCGAGCTGTGACTCTGTTTCCCTTCCCCCCGCCCACCCTCTCTTTTCCAGGGAAGGACCCAGCTACCATTGACACCTGGCCCGGAAAGCGCAGTGCCGGGATGATCGTCATCACCACCATCCTCTCCATCCTGCTGGCCATCCTGCTGGCCTGCTTCATCGCCGCGCTGACCTACAGATGGTGAGCTCACGCTCCGGGATGGGTTGGTGAACCATGCGAGGTCTCCCACCCGGTCCTTTCCAGCCCCTTCCAGCTCCGCCCTGCACCCACGGCAGGGGAAAGTGACCAGTGTGGGCACCCCGGCTGGGACCCGCCCCCTCACCCGGGCCAGGTAGCTGGCCCAGGGAGCTGGGTGCCTGAAGAGCTGAGCTGCTTCGCCCTGTCCTGTCATCACGGGGTGTGATAGCAGCTTAAGCTCCCCTGCCTGAGCTTGAATCTAGCTGGCTTGGGTACTGGAGCAGGGAGACCATGGTAACGTGGGCCTCAGCGCGGGCGAGTCCTGCTAGGGATTTCCTGGGCCGGGATTCCCATCAGCCCATGCTGAACCTTGTGCTCCTGTGGCGCCGCTTCTCCGGCCCCTGAGCTAGGCATGAAAGCTGCCTCAGGCAATCCTCCCCTGGGGCTGCCAGCTAGACACACCCTGGAGGGAAGAGAAGTGTGGTTAGCACAGCCAGAGTGGTTCTGAGTTCCACACGCCGGGCCTGAGCCTGCCGCTCATGAACTCCTGGCCCTCCCTAGCGCCACTGAACAGTACAGGCTGCAGGGGGCCGGGAGAGGCTCCGGGTCTTGGATGGGATGCTAAGGCAAGGGGCTCTCCCCAAGCGTGAAACCTGGATGGAATTCACAGTGTGGGAAGGCCTGTGAAGGTTGTTCCAGGTGCTGTGCATTGCAGGAAACCTGGGACAGCGGAGACTGAGGGGACAGGATAGCAGCTTTCAAGTCTATTCAAGGTTGTTACGAGATGGAAGGAGAAAAATTGTTCTCCTTGGCCACTGAGGATAGGACAAGAAGCAAGGGGCTTAAACTGCAGCAAGGGAGGTTTAGGTTGGACATTAGGAAAAATTTCCTGTCAGAGTGGTTAAACACTGGAATAAGCTGCCTAGGGAGGTTGTGGAATCTCTGTGCCTGGAGATATTGAAGAGCAGGTTAGACACACACCTGTCAGGGATGGTCTAGTTCAGGGGTGAGGAACCTATTTTGGGTCAGGGGCCGCTGACCCACAGAAAAATCAGTTGGGGGCCACACCCAAGTGAGAAGTGGAAAAACAACCCCCACCCCTCATTAATGTAGCGCCCAATTGAGACGGGCATTCCCCTCACACACCAGAGGCCTAAGGGGGCCCAGCCTCATAGATTTGGTGAGCTCCATCCCTGCAGTGGGAGGGGGGCTGGAGCACCAGAGCAGGATCCCCAATGCTGGGGAGGGACGTGGCCTGAGCCTCGGGGCTGGATCCAGGCCAGCCGGGAGCCCCATCTGGCCCCCGGGCCTTAGGTTCCCCACCCTGGTCCAGACCAGTGTTTCTCAAACACCAATACAAGTACCCTTAGGGGTACTCGAGAGAAGTCTGGGGGGTACGTCAACACCATTCAAATCTGGAGGAACTGGATTTTTGTTGTAAGTTTTACAGACCTTTATTATTTTTGTACTTTTTACACCCAAAAATTTCATCGCCCTCCTGGCTACGATTAAGTTGTTTAAACAAATGTGTTGCAATGGTAGAAAAAAATTGTGTGTGTCTGAAAACTGTAGATACTGGGGGTACTTATATTGGTTTTTTGAAAAAGGGGTTCTTTATAAAAAAAAGGTTGAGAAACACTGGTCTAGACAGTGCTTGGTCTAAACACTGATCTAGACAGTCCCACCATGAGGGCCAGGGACTGGACCAGGTGAATTCTCGAGGTTCCTTCCAGTCCTGTGATAACTGGAAGGGTGGGAGGAAGAGACACTGTCTTGTAACGAAACTGCTAGGAGCAGCCGTGGGCAGAGATCTGGTGGCAGCTGACACCAGGGGGCAGGTTCATCCCGCCCCACCCGTGGGAGCCCCGCTGCTCTGCTGTGACCCACCGGCTCCCCTTCCTTCTGCAGTATGGACATTGCGGAGAGCACGGAGATCATGGGCAAGCAGGACCCGGTGACCGTGAAGCGATACAACACCCACCACATCTACGACCAGCCTGCTCTCAAGCACTGAGCCCCACCCATGGGACAGCCGCCCCCTCTGGCCAGCCCGCTGCACCCGTCCGGAGCCCCTCGGCCGGCGCTCCGGCACAGCCCGCGTGTGCCGTGAACAGCCCCGGGACTGGAGGGGACCCGGGAGTGGCGATCCTGCAGCGGTATCGCTACCGAGTCCCTCCAAGACACCTAAAATGTCCAGTACTTTTTGATTTTTTCCTGGCCAGGAGGTGAAAATCCCGGGCTGTCCAGCTCAATACAGAGGCAACCTGGCAACCGTAGTGCTTACCGGTTTCCACAGGGGAGCTGTCCGGCCCCGTGCAGGGAGGCAAGATGGTGGGCGGCTGCTGGCAGCCTGTTAGGGCCCAAAAGCCTCCCCACGCGGTTTCTAAAGGAGCCATGGTGGTTTGGGGTTTTTTGTTTTTTTGGTTTTTGCTTAACAAACTTTTTCCTGTTGTTTGATATTTTTTCTGAAACCATCTGGCAACCCTGTTAACCCCCCTGGTGGAAGCAGTTTGAAGGAATCCAAAGAAATTCGCCACCCCTGGAATTTCCATGGGGTTTGGGCCCCTTGTTCCCCTCCGTGCTTTAGGAAAGTCCCGCCAGCGTTCCCCAGAGCCAGCGGCCAGGCGCTCGCGCCCTGATGCTGTTCAATATCTGCGCCGTCAAAGGACCCATTAAAACGTTTGGCCCAAAGACAAGCTTTGCCGCGTTGATCATTGAGTGCAGGCAGCCTGAGGGCCATCGCTGCCCATGCCCGCCGCCATCCCGTTCTGCCCAGCACAGGGCATTCTCCGCACCCCGGGACACAGAGCTGGATGGGCACGGGGCATGGGGGATGCAACAGACAAAGGGACGTGGGGGGAAGGGATTTTGGAAGACCCAGATGGGTTAGCTGCCCTCTGGCTCCGGGACTGTCCTTGAGGTCTTAGAAAACATATCCCCAGCTGCCACCCAGACCAATGCAGTACATGGTATGGCAGTTCCCCTGCAAGGCGGGTCAGGGGCAGCAGGGGAGGGGGCTGGTGCAGCTCCCATAGAATGTGATGCTGAACAATTTTGTTGGACCCAGCCCCCACCCCTGTGCTCTGCCTCTGTGGCAGGGTGGGAGTGGTTTTCCAATTCCACAAGTGTAGAAAGCCAGACTGCCCATGCAAATGCAGCACCGCTCTCTGACCCATCCCCCCGTGACTAGGCTGCACATTCAAGGTGCCTGGTTTTGATTCCCCATTTACACCAGTCTAGCAGTTTCATTTCAAGTGCTGACTCATACGGAGCTCTGAACTGTTACAAAACTCGAGACAAGTGGCCCAGGTGAGGAGGAGCAAACCTCTCTGGTGGCAAACTGGTGTGATCCAAGTTCTGTAGGGTTCCAGGTGATGCTTGCCTGTGGGAGGAGTGGCATTTTAGCATCACGTTGGGTCTTTTGTGGGTGTTTTGCACTGCAAGGGAAGGATACAGCAAGTCTGACTCATGGTGAAAACAGTCTGTCCCTGTGAGGCCGAAAAGCTGCACCTAAAGTGACTCATCCTGAAGTTATTGCAGAGGCAATTATCAATGGCAGAGCTGGCCAAAGCGATTCAGGGAGGAAATTGTAATCAGAAAACGGAGGATTTGAGGGGAGAAACATTTAATTTCTGAATCAGGTTTTAATTTTTTTCCAAAATTTAAAACCAAAATCTTATTTAAAAAACCACAGTATTTTTCTAATCGTGTTTCTTTTTGTTCCCCCTTTCCTACCAGCTGGCAAAATGTGTGAAACGGTAACAGCGGGAAATAATCTAGTCACACTTTCTCTGCTACACGGTAATAACAGTTTGAAAACATATGCCCCCCCCCCCCCATTTTCTCATACATTCGTATTCTGTCCCCACATAGACAGCTGTGGAAAGTAGTTTTCCTCCATTTTCTCATGCCTTTTCCTAACAGCCATTGTATTTGATGGAAGTGACTAGACACAGTTACCACTGTCCAATTTAAAGAGCTATTAGCACAGCCATTGGCTAAGCAAGGACATTCCGGCCAAGCCAGTCATCAAGGCACAGGCATGGCCTAGCACCGTGCTGCTGCCTGGCAGTCAACGGTTCGCAGCCCGGCACCGGTCCGTGGACCGGTGGTTGGGAACCACTGTTCTAGTAGATAAAAAGTTTCCATGGAATGGTACTTCAGCCCTGTTGGCAGGGGTGGCCCGTGACTATAGGTGGACTTGGCCACCGCCTAGGGCGCTGGCGCCTGATAATGATGTCACGGGGTGCCTGGGATGCCTGATGATGACGTCAGTTCATTGACGGTCCTGCAGGTGGGGGCGCCGATCACATGTTCCGCCTGGGGCGCCAGCTGCCACAGCCGGCCTCGGGCCACTCCTGCCTGTTGGGCGTGTACATTATGATAGACCCTTCACCTGCACGCACACCAGCTATTTTGTCCCGCAATTCACATTCCTGGCCCCTAAGGTGACTCCCTGCCAAATGTGAAGCCCCTTGAAGGTTCACGGAAACTGTTTCAAGACTTTCCACTGTGGGAGGAAAACGTGCTTGGCTGCCCTGCTGCTGTGCTGAGCCTTCCCAACACCCAGCGAGAAAAAAACGCAGCCCAAATGGTTAAAGTTTGCAAGTTATGAGGAAGGGCCTTATAATGGAGCTGACGGGCAGCTTTGCCAGGAGGCAGCAACTCTGCCTAGACCAGTGGTCTCCAACCTCTCTAAGCACAAGATCACTTTTTGAATGTAAGTGCAATCCAGGATCTACCTCAAACCCAAATACCCTGGCCCCGCCTCCTTCCCACCCCTTCTCTGAGGCCCCGCCCCTGCTCACTCCACCCTCCCTCACTTTCATCTGGCTGGGGCAGAGGGTTGGGGTGCAGGCTCTGGTCTTGGCTTAAGGGAAAGTGAGAAGGGCTCTGAGCTGAGCTTGGGACAGGCTGTTGGGGTTCAGGAGGGGGTTCTAGGTACAGGCTCTGGGACAGCGTTTGGAGGCAGGGGTGCTCGGGGCTAGGGCAGAGGCTTGGGGGGTAGGAGGGGGTTCCCGAGTAGGGTAGGGTTTCCGGACGTGGGCTCCAGCTGGGCCCTGTTTACCTTCAGTGGCTCCTGGGTGGTGGTGCAGTGGGGCTAAGGCAGGCTCCCCCCTGCCCTGGCCCTGCACCACTCCCAAAAGCAGCCAGCAAACTCCCTCCCAAGCCCTCTTGTGCCCCCCACTCTGCTCTGTGGAGACAGGATACAGGGTGGGAGGGAGGCCTCTTGACATCAGCACCCTCTTCTCCCTGCACTGCACAGCAAACAAGAGGATCCTGAGAGGACATCTTCAAGGCAAAGAGCAGGAGCAGCAGGGCAGTGGGAGGAGGGGCAGCTGAAGTGCTGGCCCGTGAGAGCCTCTTGGCCAAACCAGTCACTTGAGGTCTTTGAACCATCGTTTCAAGGACTTCAATATCTGAGACACAGGTGAGAGGATTATTCTAGCCGTGGGTGGGTGAGATTCTGTGGCCTGCATTGTGCAGGGGGTCAGACTAGATGATCATAATGGTCCCTTCTGACCTTAAAGTCTATGAGTCTATGAGTCAGGATCACCTGTCAGAGGCTCCAAGATCTACCAGTAGACCCAGATCTGCTGGCTGGTGACCCCTGGCCTAGACAAGCTAAGACATCTAGTGGAGGCTATGTTTGATTAGGGTGCCTGGTGGCATTTGTCTGCTTCCTGAGAGAGAGGGAAGGCGTGTGGGGGGGTCTGTCCCTAGGCATGCAGGCCTCTTGACATCAGCACCCTCTTCTCCCTGCACTGCACAGCAAACAAGAGGATCCTGAGAGGACATCTTCAAGGCAAAGAGCAGGAGCAGCAGGGCAGTGGGAGGAGGGGCAGCTGAAGTGCTGGCCCGTGAGAGCCTCTTGGCCAAACCAGTCACTTGAGGTCTTTGAACCATCGTTTCAAGGACTTCAATATCTGAGACACAGGTGAGAGGATTATTCTAGCCGTGGGTGGGTGAGATTCTGTGGCCTGCATTGTGCAGGGGGTCAGACTAGATGATCATAATGGTCCCTTCTGACCTTAAAGTCTATGAGTCTATGAGTCAGGATCACCTGTCAGAGGCTCCAAGATCTACCAGTAGACCCAGATCTGCTGGCTGGTGACCCCTGGCCTAGACAAGCTAAGACATCTAGTGGAGGCTATGTTTGATTAGGGTGCCTGGTGGCATTTGTCTGCTTCCTGAGAGAGAGGGAAGGCGTGTGGGGGGGTCTGTCCCTAGGCATGCAAGGGAGCTCAGCTTTCCCTCTCTGAGTGGCTCATGGTCTTCGATCAGCCCGGCCGGCAGGGCTGCCCCCGTCCAAACACCCCCCCCACCTTGCGCCTTCCCCATCGTCTGGTGTAGCCCCCCGGCCGGCCCCCAGAGGG